CTAGCCTTCTGACTTAAATCGGCTGAACGCAATTCATGTGGCCGGCACGAAAGGCAAGGGCTCGACCTCCGCATTTATCTCCACGATCCTCTCCCAATACACACGAAAAGATGCGAATCAGCCCGGATCCAACCTTAAGATCGGTCTCTACACCTCCCCGCACCTTCGATTCGCACGCGAGCGCATAAAGATCAACAATGCTCCATTGTCCGAAGAGCAGTTTGCGCGCTATTTCTTCGAAGTATGGGATCGTCTTGAGCAATCTGCTAAACTGGCGGGCCAGGATCCCGCCGGGCCTGCGGCGAAACCACAATATTTCCGATACTTGACCGTGATGGCATTCCACACCTACCTGAGCGAGGGCGTGGACGCCGCGGTGATCGAATGTGGAATCGGCGGTCAATATGACTGTACCAACGTGATCCCACGACCCAAGGTGACAGCGATTAGCAGTCTTGGAATTGATCACGTTGATTTGCTTGGACATACGATTGAGGAAATCGCGTGGCACAAGGGTGGCATTTTCAAGCCGGGCGTGAATGGATTCGCGGCACCGCAGCCTGCGGGCGCGGAACAAGTTTTGGCTAAACGCGCCGAGGAGGCTGGCGCTCATCTGGAAATTGTGGCTGGCCATTCTGAGCTTTGCCCCGAGAGCAGCAAGGTCACCCTTGGGTTGGCTGGAGACTTCCAGTATACCAATGCCTCGGTCGCAGTGGCAGTTGCCGCGGACTTCTTGCGCCAGGTTGGCATGGAGGTCCCGGAAAATATCATGAAAGAACCACTACCGGCGAAGTTCAAGATCGGGCTCGAGGAAACTCGCCTGGGTGGTAGATGTGAGACCCGATTTGAGAAGAATGTCTCTTGGTATATTGATGGCGGTCATACTTTGGAGAGCATCCGGCTGGCTGGCCAGTGGTTTGCATCGCGGATCAAGGCCGACTCATCGTCCGAAGATGTAGCCGCCAAGAAGACACGAATTTTAATTTTCAACCAACAAACTCGCAACAGCACAGCTCTTGCTCGTGCTCTCCACGAGACCCTATCGTCTGCCCTTGGAAACGACCATCCATTCACTCACGCCCTATTCTGCACGAACATCACCTACAAACAGGCCGGATTCCGACCTGACTTGGTCAGTATGAACACCAACGCTGATGACCTTGAACTTCTCCGAGTCCAAAAGTCTCTTGCTGTAGAGTGGAATACTATTGACCCCCGCGCTCAAACACATGTTTTTGGTACAATCGAGGAGGCTGTTGATTTTGCGCGGGAGGTTGCGAGCCAGGAACGCAAAGTCCTACAGAAGGACGAAGCCCCGGTCATGACCTTTGTCACCGGCAGTATCCATTTGGTTGGAGGATTCCTCGACGTGGTCGAGACAAAACCACCTACCAATGAGTGATTCCCAGATGATTGGTAGCCCGGAGCTCCAATGACTTTTGCATTCTTGTATCAACTTGAGACATGCTTTTGGTTTAGCATAGAACGGACATAGAGGTGTTTTTGCTTGGATTTCAACAATTCTCTAATTCTCAACATACATTTTCAATTTACCACGCATTTAAATGATAACATGTTCACACCTTGTAGGTGTTTTAGACCAACATTTTGCATATACGAATGCCGAGGTTCCTGTAGGCCACTTAGAGTTCATAGGGGTCTTCACTCTTCACAGTGGAGAATGAAGTACTTCGTACAAGGTGAAACGTGTCCATAAATAATAGTCATCGAGTATCTTTATATTGTTGTAAATAACGTGCATAGTGCGTTGTCTAGAGCCCGTTCCTGTATTATTTTAAAGTCAAATTGCCCGCCCGCCCCCCCACCAGAAGATCCGCGGTGTTTGAAACGTGGGACCTCTTCCTTCCTCAACACCCCAACAACACATCATGTCTGATTCCAGCGACAAGAAGGGAAAAGCTCCTAAGCGCAACGAAGACGAGTCTGGGACTCCATCCGACTCGGGCAATGGTAGGCCTCTCCATCCAGCCTCCCTAGGCACCAAGCAACCGCAGATTCACGTCTGCTGACATTCGAACTCCAAAAGCTGGAAAGAAGCTTCCCCCGAAGTTTGCTTCTTTGCTCCTCGAACAGAACCCCGCCCTGAAGAACGAGCTAGCTACGATGGACAAGGACCAGGCCGCCGCGCTACTGCACAACATGGACCTCTCGCAGATGTTGACCGGATTGGCAGTGGGAGGCAAGAACCAGAAGGATATGGCCTCGTACAAATTTTGGCAGACACAACCAGTGCCTGCTTTTGAAGAAGCCGGAAAGAAGCAGATTACCCAAGGACCTATCAAGACCATTGATCCCGAGAAGGTCTCCAAGACTCCCGATGCGCTTATTGAGGGGTTCGAGTGGTGCACTCTTGATCTGACGAACGAGGAGGAGTTGAAAGAGCTATACGAGCTTCTTAATAAGCATTATGTCGAGGATGATAACGCCATGTTCCGCTTCAATTACTCGGAATCCTTCCTGCATTGGTACGGTTGAGCCTTGGACTTTGTACCTATGCCAGACCGCTAATATTATATAAATAGGGCCCTGATGTCTCCTGGATGGAAGAAGGAATGGCACGTTGGTGTGCGCGCCACAAAGTCGCGCAAGCTGGTTGCATCCATCTGCGGTGTCCCGACTGAACTCCGCGTCCGCGGCGAGCGCATCAAAGTGACGGAGATCAACTTCCTGTGTATCCACAAGAAGCTCCGCTCCAAGCGCCTGACTCCCGTTTTGATCAAGGAGATTACCCGCCGCTGCTACCTCAGGGGCATCTACCAGGCCATCTACACTGGTGGTATCATCCTGCCCACACCCGTCAGCTCTTGCCGATACTACCACCGTTCTCTCGATTGGTTGAAGCTCTACGACGTTGGCTTCTCGCCTCTTCCACATGGCTCGACCAAGGCCCGCATGATCACTAAGAACCATCTCCCTAGCGAGACATCGACCCCTGGTCTACGCCCTATGGAATCTAAGGACATTGATGCCGTCTTTGATCTGCTGGAGCGATACATGCGGCGCTTCGAATTGAACCAGGCCTTTACACGGGAAGAAATTGATCACTGGCTGGTTTACAAAGAGAAACCCGGCAAGGAGCAGGTTGTCTGGTCATACGTTGCCGAAGACCCGGAAACTCACAAGATCACCGACTTTGTCTCGTTCTACAACCTCGAGTCTACTGTGATCGATCACCCCAAGCACGACACCGTCCGTGCCGCATACCTGTACTACTACGCGACCGAGACCGCGTTCTCTGACGACAAGAAGGCTTTCAAGGATCGCTTGCAGCTTTTGATGAACGATGCCCTGATTTGCGCAAAGCAGGTATGTTATAACATGTTATATCTGATTCTATATGCTAATCCAGTTAGGCTCGCTTCGATGTCTTCAATGCTCTCACCTCGCACGACAACCCCCTCTTCCTGGAGGATCTCAAGTTCGGTGCCGGTGATGGCCAGCTCCACTTTTACCTATACAACTACCGTGCTGCACCTATTGGCGGTGGAATTAACGAGAAAAATTTGCCTGACGAGTCGAAGATGGGAGGTGTCGGTATCGTCATGCTCTAGGCTTGGCTCTTTGGCTAGTAAATCTAACGTCGGATACCCCGAAAACGAATTTCTTTGCCTTGTATCAACCCATTTTATACACGAAGATCATTAGGCCAGATTTGCAGCTGCTAGTAGCGAATTTAGTGTCGGCCCCAACGTGGAAAACACTGGACGTACTCGAGATATTTTGCGAAGATCTATTACGAATGCTCAACTTTCCCTCTTGATATATTATGAAGAAGCTACCGGATGGGGTAAGATCGGTCTAATGCAAGGAGGCTTGATCTAAAACGAGGTCCCTGACTAGACAGACAAGCCGAGACATCGAACCTCCCCAGGGGAGTGGCTCTGGTATCATTGTTTGCGTTTTCATGGCACCATCGGTGTGCAAAATGTCTTCAACCAGCCTTCTCACGAGGTCGATCGCCTGATCAAGCTAAACTTCCTCGATGATACCTTCTAACCCTAGAGAATCGCATTGCGGACACCGTCTCCTCCGACTACCAGTGTGACCCACAAAGCAGCACCGATCTCAGTGTTATAATTGCTGCATATCATCCTCCCTATCTGCCATTGTCGCTGTTCTTGAGACTCGGATGATTTTGGATCCTGGAAGCTTCCCATACTTGATACTGCAGCGCCGACTCAACTAGTCTCTATAATTTCGTTCGTATCAAACAGGTTGGGATCTCCCTCGAAGAAACCCCATTAAACTGTTCCTTCTCATATTGAAATTTGGCTCGGCATTCAAGGCTGTGTGGATACGCCGAGCCTCGTTTCAGACAGAAGTCATATTCAATCCCAGTGCTTTGTTATGTGTGCAACCATATCAGACATGGTGTTCCGTCGAGCTGTGTATGCGATGACTAGATGCCATATATAATACAATACGTGGAATACCATATCTTCCCAGTACCATACTAGTATGTAGTTAATTGTGAAACGTAAGGTTCAAGAAAGTCAAGGATGTGTTGAGTTACAGTGGTTTATTGGATTTGCTGCCATCGGATTTTGAAGTTCATCGATTCTGGGATAGTACAGTGATTTGTAAAATAAGTGTTTATTGATCTGGGGTTATAGATTATCTTTGTCGCCATCTAGTTATCTTTTGTGAAGTAAAAAGTACATGATTTCAAGTAGATATGGCGCCTCTAGGCCCCATACAAGAATCAAGTGGTTTAGTAGTAAGATACGCTGTATTTTTCTATATATGAGCCTGAATGATCCTTAAGCCAAGGGGTATGTGCAAGACACCTATAACAAGTCCATGGGCCGCTTTCATTGAACACCTGGTCCATATGTTTGTTCTTAAATTGCGTGTATGATCGGGAGCAGAAAGTGAGAATGCAAAAGAGAATGCAAGAGAGAAGAAAAGGATGGGAAGAAGAACGTAAATTTGAGAGCAGAATGCGATTCATTACCGGATCAACGGCAAAAGATATTGACTCAGCGACGGGTAGTGTATGTATCGCGGTAGGGGGATGATTCTCGGCTTTGGAGTGGCATATCGCCATATATGTCATGATCGGGTAGTCGTTGCATATTATGCTGGCCCTTGCGTGGCTTCCGGCAGCTTCGACAGCAACATCCACCACAACAGCCACAGCCATTGCAGCAGAGCCACTTGCCGATGCCACTCGAGGGCATTTTCGCATCTGGACCCTGTAGCACAGCACCCGGCGGCGCAAAGTTCCAGATGAGAATGGCCAAGGCCATAGGAAAACCATCAAACACATACATATACCATTCATGGTACGGAATGGGATTTGCCTCATGGTAGCCGGCGGAAAATTCAACCAAGCGGTAGATGATGCGCACTGTAATGGCGAGCAAACTGCCATATAGGGCATAGAGCAATCGACGCCAGTTCAGCTTCCCGACAGGCAGTCGGCCAGCTCGCTCCAGCTTCAGCATCAATAGGTGGAACTGCACAGCCAGTACCAAAAAGCACACGATGAAGAACTCCTGGATTCCGATGCCTCCCATGTAGAGATGGATGCCGTCCATTTCTTGCTGGTCTGTACCATTCGCCATGAAGCCACCGATCATCTGGATAATGAAGGAGACAAAGTCAAGCAAGACAAATATCTTGGCTAGCAGGGAGGGCTTGAACATGCCGATGCGACGCTCGGGGACGAAGAAATGTATCATGCGAGCCAGGACCATGTAGTCAAATGCATTGACCCCTATATCCACAGTCAGTATCATAGAATTGCGGTGTACCAAATAAGAAGTTGAGGGCCGTACATAATGGTGCCAAAAGAATAAACATTTGGGCGACTGTCACAACAGTTTCATTCTGCTGGTTGCGGGTGCTGAAGGCGCGGACCGCGTAAGCTACGGTCTCCCACGAGACTCCCATAATGATAACCCAGGCAAAGCCTGCATTGTAAATAGTTGCTTGCACAAAGTGAGCCATCATGAGGAGTCCGAAAATAACAGCGGCAGCAACTGCAGCTCCAAAAGACGGGTAATATAGGTACAAGGCGTCGCACGCCGAGGGTGGTACCCAACCATATTTGTCAGGCGCTATGGTAGGCGTACATGTGTTGGAGGGTAAGTCCAGGCTTAAGGTCAAATGGAATTCAAAGTCATCTGTTGTGGTGGTTGCTGTGGTGGTCTCCGGGTTCGTCGCTGTGGTGGGGGTGGCATCCCGCGGTAACACCCCGGTCTGGGGGGCAGCCGTTTGGACTGGGGATGCCCGGGCCATCATGGCCGATACCACCATAAACAACAACCCCGAAATCGGAAATCGCATAATGACAATACAACAATTAAAGAAGGAATGTATCAGGTCACAATGCCTAAGAGAGAATGCGAAAGTATAGAAGAGATAGACACAGTAAAACCCATTTCAAAGCGCTCAAGCAGTTAGTTTATACCAATGTCTGATGCCTGGAGAATTAACATACATCCTTGCGACATCTGAATTATGGTTGCCTTGAAATAGAGATGAGAGGGTCCAGAAGCTAGTTAAAAATAGCCCTGGAGACATGAGGTTTAAAGCTAGTTGGAGTGTTGGTATTTGGTATTAATACACATTACACATTATATAGACGCCTTATAGTTGGCCCCCAAACATACCCATGTCCTCAATCTCTACTGTAGGCGAGCTAAAATCACCTTCCCTGGAACTTTGCAAAAAGGGAAACGGAATTTAGGCAACAATGTGTGACTGCTGCTCAGAACGTCTTTAGTCCTACGTTTAGCGGACCGACACCGTGGCTTTGGCTTCACTCTGCGATTGGAAGAGATCTTTTTATTATCCTGCCATGTGCGCTATCTCCGCTCTATCTACCGCCACAATGTTCCCGCTGAAGCTGCAGCTCTCTATTGACTCGGGGGCTCCTACTATTCCGAGGGAGACATGTATACCAGCCTCCGCCCCGTGGCTCGCATTGGCGATTATTCATCGAAGCCTATGGGAACCTCTGGTAAAATTAACTGGCCATCTCATCTACTGGACCACCCCTGTGTGCCTCTAGATAAAAGCTGCGAGCAACAATGGCGACAACGACTACCAGAGACATATGGTCCTGGAGCATCTCAGCTTCGAGGCCCGGTCGTCCAGTGTCAACTTTGTGGTTAGCCTAGTCGCCTGTGAAAAGACTACCTGATTGCTGGCTGTTCTTGGAGAAGTGAGTCAATATTGTGGCCGGCTGGAAGTGTCAGTCCATCTCGCTTTCGGCATCACACAGTCCCCCCATCTCATTGCAGGCACGATTCGCGAAAATGTCGACTCTTTCGGTACGACAGCCGATGCCCATGAAAATGAACTAGTACTCAAAGAAGTGCACTTGGGGGAAACAGTGGCTTCATGAGGAGATATACACGTCCGACTCTCGGATGGCCTGTTCAGTGCTGGGCAGTAGCAACTGCTATGTCTAGCTCGAGCTATGATCCGCCTGGGAGAGACGGACTGAGCAGTATAAGAGATATTTGTCATCACTTTACATCTCACACTATTATTGCATTTTCCCAATGCACTTCCACCATTCTAGATGCTGACCGCGTCGCGGTGGTGTCAGACGGGGTCATTGTCAAACTGGGCCATCCAGGCGAGCTTCTAGCTCTCGATTCTCCCAGTCGTTTCATGTCTCTACGAGGTGACAGCTGTCTGCAATTGATCTTTTGAGATTCTACAGGAGGTTATTTAGCTATTACCATTGTGGATCGCCGTTCCCTGTGCGTCTCGGCTACCTGGTAGTAGTGTGGTGCGTATCGCCGTGCTTACTGCTGTGTAAGAGTATTCAAATAATAAAATTGTCAGATCCATGAATTATCAAGCATTGAGTTCCATAATACATTGCAGCCTTGGGAAAGCTGATCGAATGCATGTCAGCACCTACTCAAGCTAAGTCAATGCGCGTCAGCACTAAGAAAAGTTAGCCCTAGCGGGCATGTCTCGGGAATAAACCGTTGTAATATGTATTTCCGTCTGTATCTCGTGTTTAGTGTTTCATCATGCTTTGTAATTTATATAGCGTAGTAGGACCTGCGGATGTATCATGATGTCTTCCATTCAGTGTATTATCTGTACTAACTATTGATTTCCACTTTCCTAAACACACTGGCGCATTCATTCCCAGCAAGAAACCTATTTGACCCTGACCCGATAGCTTAGATGCGCCATCTCTTTTTACATTGTAGGAAATTGCTAACTGCGCCTCCTGACAGCTAAAAAAGGAAATACCTTTAACTCTACGTCCGACCCTCCCATTAGCTTCATCGCCGCTTAAATTCGCTATTCCGTTTGGAATGCAGCTCGGCGAATCGCCGAGTGCGACTGCGTAACAGGTTTTCCCGTTGCTCTAGAGTCATTGTTCTTTGCTCGACACCAATTGGAACCATGCATCGAGCCAGGTGCGCATAGTCCTTTTGCAGCAGATTAACAGTTAGCATGAGATAATCCAAATTTTGGAACATGAGCGCCCGCTCGTCATAGCGTTCCTGGTCCCGAAGAAGCGCCACGGGATGCCCCATCCAGTGTCGCCGAGGATGCAGATGGTGTGATGTGTGGTAACCGTCGTTGAAGCAGAATCGATTGCTCTGGTGAGAAAGATGTCAGTTCAGGCAGTCCATCCGAATGGAATGGACTAACTACATCGGGTGAAAACTTACGGCAACATCGATCAAGGTAATACTAGACCGGAAATCCGACAAAGGATCATTAGGACCCACAAAGGCGTGCTGGCCCCAATTGCCCGCCATCAATCCCACACGAAGTGTCCCAATGCCCACGGCTGACCGGGCCTATGATAGTGCAAAGGATGCACTTTCGGCCAAGGAGTATAAACTGCAATCACAGAAACGAACAATAAAGAAGAGATGCTTTAAGATAGGCGACAGGTACTTAATCGTATTGGTGGCTGCTGGTTAAATGAAGATCGAGGTATCAACTTCTGTAAGGACGCGGATCGTGATCACTAACGATGTTCTATTAGGGGATCCTCGACTATTGGAGACGATGAGCGAAGATACCATGGCATCTCTTATACCTATTACCCAAGCTATGTCTACTAGTATTGCACTTCAAATACTAATTCGATATCCCCTAGAGGGCTATGTCTTGAACCCTTTCTTTTTAGATCGCAAGCTACGCTCGAAATACTTTAAATTATAATGAGATGCTTAAAGCAGCAACATTGCATTATTCTGAGCGATATCAATCATCGACAGCACGATTCTCTCCCACCCTTTCTTTTTGAATAGCAAGCTTCGTTCGAAATACTTAAATCATAATGCGATAATTAAAGTAGCAACGTGGCATGGTTCTAAGAGATATCAACCAGAAATAGCACAATTCTCTCCGTCCTCTTCATCATCTCCACCCGATTCCTCCTCCTCCTCCTCCTCCTCGTATTCGACGACCATAACTTTTCGTCCTTGATACCATGCACGCGCGACAAGGTGGCATGATTCTGGAACAATGATATCGAAGGGAAGTCCCTCGGTCAAAGGGGAATCATTTGATTCCGAACTCAAGAGCTGACGCCGTCGGAAATCCTTCTCCCAGTTACGTAGAGAGATATTCCGTCGTAGAGTTAGCGTTGTTAGTGGTGAGGCCTCAATCGCTTCGGCGAGCATTTTATCGATCCATGCGATAATCTTAGCCTTATGAAGACGCCATTCAAATGACACAGAAGAGAAAAGCCGCCGTTCGGAGTCTATAAACCAGAACTGATATGCATTACTATCCGTCGTGATCCTGAAAGCAATAGCATGAATCTTTTGGATTCTGGCCCGACTGGCCTGTATAGCTGCGAGATACGTAGCCATTTGTGAGTTGGCAAGGGAAAATTCGTAACCCCGCTTAGCTTCTATAGCAATCAACGTCGCATCAATACTATCTCGAGGATCATCATAGCAAAGTAACCAGTCGGTATGGCCACTGACATGCGTATCGCCGAGTAGAAGATCGACGTCTACCTCCGGATAGAGCTGTAGATATTCGAGCGCCCCTTTAGCAGAAAGGTGATAGAGCCGATCAAGAATCAACAGCTCGACAATGACGCGTACAGAGGCTTCTGACCTATCGATTCTGTGATAGCGGGAGCTTTGAAGTCGTTGGATAATAGTGTCCACATCAGCAGAGAGGGAAGCTGGGGGAACATGGTCGATGTCTTAGCGATCCCAAATATGTTCTTACGGATTATGCGTCACCTACAGAATAGTACACGCCTGGTCAAGAGATTTGAATTTCCCAGCAGCATAATGGACGCCGGCGGTTTTCTTTGTCAGCGCGAGTTGTTGCATCAAGGGTGATAACACTGTAAGCCTTTGAACCGCACGGGATCGAACAACAGGATCATTGCTGCTCATATCTGCTAGCATACCCGGAAAGCTGACAATAGTTTCGAACACGTCGGGATCAACTGCAGGAACGATTTTTCGCCGCTTTGTTGACCGGCGAGCCTGGCTTGGGGTCGACGACTGCATGCTTGACTCCAATGCTTGGCAACAGGGATGATCTTGATAAAGCCAATGACACGATCGTAAGACAGTGACTAAGTGGGTCCGCTATTACGTAATTTTAGCTAATTCGCTGCCTCAGGCAGCAAATAAAGAGTCTAGAGCCATCCTGCCTCAGGCAGAATACCTGACGTCCGCTGATGGAAGGGCGCAGTTTACTATTTATTGTTTGTTGACACTGCTTTTGTTGGAGCTGTCTTTATCGTTCTGAACCACTTAATTCCCCCAGTCTTTCTATTCTTCCAATTTCTCGCTTGATTTCAGCTCTTGAGCACTGTGACGGAACACGCAGGTGTAGCCAGCAGTGGGGTCGTCCCCGCATCAACTATCATCGATGGGCGCAGGACAGTCGAATGAGCATGGTGCATCATCCCCAGGTGAGTTCGATCTGATACCTTTATGTTTTGGGTTCAGGAGACGCATGAATTTACTGTCTCTTGATCAACCATAATTGTCAATCATATGGCTTTGACTTGACATGGAATGCTCTCCGTCTGGTCAACAGCATCTTGTCAATACCAATTGTATCTGACCATATGCATAAATAGAGGAGTTGAGCTCCGTGCTTGCCGAGCGCTTTGCCACAAAATGCTTCACGCCATTAGAGCTCACCCATTTCAAAGACAACTTCTTCTCCCGGGCCTTGGAGCAAGGTGGATTGCGGTACTGGAATGAGAAAGTACTTTCAGACTTCTTGGGCATTCCAGATGGTAGCTATACCTCATCACGGGGGCAGTCATTAGATGCAGGGCCGGTGATATTTCGCATGGTATCTTATCTGGGAGCCTTTCCGTTCCAAAACACGCTCGCGCCCAGTGTGTTGACGTTTGAGGCCATGGTCAAAGTGGTTGTGCTGTTGACCGAGCGCTATGGGAAAGCACTGAAGCGGGGGCATAAAGATCGAACTAAGTTACTCTTTGGCAGTCTAGCTGATGTGGGGAGAAAGACTCCCGCCGAGTCTGAAAGAGAATCAGTGACCGAGGAATCCGAAGCTTCGGCTAGGAATTCCCATCCGCTGGGATTCTCCATAGATGAACCGGCCAACGATGAGTACGATGAGGACGAGGATGATGATCTTGCACTCGCAGCATTGGAGTCTCTCGATGCGATTGAAGTATTCAAACATGATCACCGTGTTGACAAGACCGTTTACGAGACCCGGATTTCCATCGATACATTCCGCCGGTTGCTGATGCTATTGCTTGTCATTGCGCCACTAAAGCCATTAGAGTCTTTGAAGGTATATACATCTGGACTGGATGGTCGACGCATGGAATTGGTCAAGAAAGAAGCAGACAGTATCATTGCAGCCTTTTCCCCGGAAGAGAGTGATGGTGGGATATCTTACAAGGCTTTTGCCCGAACGATATCACTATCTCTACCATATCTGTTCGATCCACTCACTGCTCTTTTCGAGCATATGCTTTTCAGCAAAAACTTGAACCTATCCCAACGCCGCCAAAATGATCTAACCACGGAGAGCGAACAGGAGAGGAAGGAGAACGAAGAACCCCCCGTACCACCGGCTGCACTTACTCTTCCGGGAAGCTTCGAGTCGGCCATATTAAACCCGACGCTTAACTCGCATCTTTCATTCTTCCTCCCTTCCACATCACCCGACATCAATATCCTCCGAAGTGACGTCAAACTCCACCCCGTCTTCTCGACAAGCGCCCACGGGTCTTCCTTAACATATTTCTCCCATCACGTCCTTACCTGGCAATCTGCCACCCTCCTTATTCTGCAAGGATCGGTAGTAGACTCATCCAGCGAGGAATTAGTAACTCTAGGCGCCTACATTCCCCAACAGTGGAAAACGTCCATATCGACCTCAGGCTCATCTTCAAAGACATCCGACCTCCTTCCCTGCCTCTTCCAACTATCCCCAAAACACATGCTCCTCCCGGGAAATCCTTCCCCATCTGCAACGAAGCCCAACACCCCAACCGCCTATTTCTCACCCAACACCGGCATCGCAATCGGCTGTAATATCCCCGCCCCGTCCCGCACACACCAAACCTACCCGTCCCCACACGGAGCAGGCAGTCTCATTATCGATGCGAACATAGAAACAGCCGAGTTCCACACCGCACCCTTCGCACACAACGGTGTCTTCTTACCCGCTGCCAATACATCCCTTGAAGACCCGCCCACAAAGATCAAGCTTGATCTTTATACCCTGGAGATTTGGGGTATCGTCCCAGATCCGGACACGTCTTTCTCCGCAGACCCGACCTTAAGTCCGGTGGAGATTCAGCGAGCAAAGTGGGAATTTGAGGCACGAGAGGCTGAGCGCCGTCGTAATATCAATATCAAGGCTGGAGCTGGGGATCCAGCGACCCAGAGTGCAAGGTGGCTTTTGGAAACGGCCGGTATTATTGGGGATCAGGCGCGATATACTGGTGGAGGGGGTTAGGGTTCTTTTGTTGTTTGGATGTCTTATGCGACGGGGCTGTGGGATACCCTTTGCAACTTGGTGTCATTGTGTTGAGATCGGAGCGAGGTTATGGTAAAGCTACATTAATTATCTGTCCTACAGGACTGGACTTTTCTGGCTACCCAAATCTGGCGGCATTTGCAGTGGCATCTTTCCATGCAGTTTACTTTCCGTCTTTTCAACTAGGAGGGTAACATGCTGTTACTTATGCCAAATATAGGAGTTAGAAAGAACGGCCAGTGCATATATAAACTGAAGCGCTGCAGCAATTCATTATCGTACATTCAACAACTGGCACAAATATAATCTTATATAGTGTACAAACATCGACTCAGAGGCATCATGGGAGTTCAGAATTCCAAAAGATCCGAGCTATTTAGGAGGTCCTGCCGTTGCTGCCGGACTCTATTCGTTCTCGATGTGTATGTATCAGCGGTTACCAGATCGATGCTATAGGATTACTTGATCTTTCTGACAGCCTACTTGGGTGTCAAATAACCACTGATTGTGATGATCCATGAATCCTGAGACGCTCTAACAGTACATAAACCTGTTATCATGCTTTCAGCGGCGGTAGCCCGCTCGGCGCATCGTAGAAATCTTTGAGATCTTCTTCGTCCTCCTCGAATTCGAAACCAGAAATCTCTGCCTCGGATTCGTCGCCAGCGAGCTGAACACGGGACAGACGACTGCGGGTACCGGTACCGAAATTGCCAGAGGAAGCAGGTGTCCCGTCCTTTTCGAACGATTCTGAGGCCGCCTCGCGAGGCAGACGCATCGCCAGGTAGCCATCTGGCGCACGCTCGGCTCGGTCCATGATATCGTTCATATATTTGCGCACCTCGTCGGCTGGCTTGACGACGCGGGCTAGGGGCTCGAGGATTTTGGCGTTGGGGGCATGGATGCGGAAAGTGACGGGTTGCCAGTATTCCTTAAGATTCGCCTCATTCGCAGGAGTCCCTGGGAGGCTGGGGGTTGAAATACCTGTTTGGTCGGCGGGTTCCTGCTTTTGTGGCGTCCCGGGTGTAGGCGTGCCTGGCTGGCCGGGGGCTGGGATGTCAGTTGGCAGTTTTCCCTTGTCGGCTTTGACTTTTGGTTCACTCTTCTTAGCTTTCGATGCCCCCTTGCCTTTGCTTTTAGAGTTGGCAGCTTCTGTGGCGGTTTCAAGAGGGAATGGTGTGTTTGGAGCCACCTTTCGGACTATCAAAAACGAGGCGATGACCGTGTTCTCGGCTGGGAGCCATTCCAGGATGGCGTGCTCAGGGAAAAGATAGCGGTCACCCGAGCCGGCATGACCTGAGGTACTGCTTCCATACGGAGTTAAGGGAGATGTGAATTCAAACACCACAGACTTGTAGTTTACTGGTGGAGATCCAAGTGGGGAGACATAAGGAATTGGAGGCGGACGGGGGAATGGAACAGGAGTACCAAATTGGGGTGGTCGAGACTGAAGTGGAGGTTGCGACCCATAAGAAGGTTGCTGGTGGGGGGCATATGGTGGTCCCGGTCGAGCTCCTGGCTGTTGAGCACTTCCTGGTGGTGTCGGGTTTACCATAGAAGTCTGGTGCTGAGAGGTAGGAGCAGGGGCTGTGGTGCTTGTAGCACCAGAAGTCGCTGATTGGGTCGGTGCCACTGGGCGGCCTCCATCGGACGGCGCAAGCTGAGGGCTATTGTGCTCTGCGGCTGATTGCTCTTCCTTTATGGTGCTCGACCCAGAGGCGCTCTGGGGAGGTTTAGGCGGCTGGCTTGCTGGGGCTTGAGCAAAGGTCTGGGGCTGGCCCTCCGTCTTCGCAGGTGGCTGCTTGGGAACTTTGGATGGAGTCTGCGGCTTTTGTGGCGTTTGCTCTAGCGATGCTGGCTTTGTCCCACCATCTTGTTGTTTCTGGGTCTGAGTTTGTGGCGTAGGGGTTGACTGTTGTGTAATTGGCTGTGCTGTCGAAGATTGCTGTCGTTGTTCTTGCTGCTCTCTTGATTTGATGATTGCGTTAAGTTCGTCGATGTGTGCTTGGAAAGCCCGGAGCTGCTCCTGGGATGCTTGGCTTGATGCAACAACACGCATCAAGGCCTTCAGTTCAGGGTCTGCAGCTGCCCTTGTAGCCAGCATTTGAATCACAGGATCTGGACTTGGCTTGGCAGGCTGGCCCTTTTGTCCTTGTGGTGGTTTGTGTCCTCCTTGAGGGGAAGGTTGATTCGGGCCACGAGTTGCCTGGGGCGAGGGATGGCTGCCTGTATACCCCGGGCGACCCGGAGGAGCGGGAGAATATTGCGCAGGTCGTTGTTGGTTGGATGGGGTGGGATACGGTCGGTATTGTTGGAAGTTATTAGGATGGCCATAGTGAACCATCGGTCGTTGCGGGGGTGCGTATTGGAGTGCCGCCGGCGCACTAGGATCTTTGACAATGTAAATCATGGCATCAAAGAAATGGGGACCGATGGTGACATCGCATGGTCCAATTTTTGTCATAGTGTCCTTTGATGGGTTGTTCTTCTCGGTCTGTTCGCGCTTCGTCTTCTTTGGCTTAGTGTAGTATCGAACAAGGATGCCATCGCTCAGCCACTTTTTCTTCGACCGTTCCAGCGAAGCGAGGAGGACTGCACTGTTGAGATACGACAGAGGATGTCAGTCATGCAATACCAATGGGGGCCGCGATTCCGAACCTTTCAGCGATTGACTGATACTCATTGTCCGGCAAGGAAAGCGGCTGCCGCGTGCGGACAACAGGCAAGCTATCTCCATCCTTGACCTTTGTTGGTAAAGGGGCATCAACTAGTTCGGGGGATGTAGCGCGAGGAGTTGGCGCCTTTTTCTTGTGAGACTGAGGCGTGGCTTCGGAGACACGTCTTTTGGCTGCAGACTCACGTCGCGACGGAAGCTTACGCTTTTCGGCCATGGTGGATTCAACGTCACGATACCCACTATGGAACTATAAGACACATCGTATATCGAGATTTTGGAGGGGGATGGAGAAAGGGTGGAACCTTAGAAGGGAGAAATGAGAAGAGACGCGATAACGCGCCGCTTATCAGCGCCGTTGTCCGCTCACCTCCGTCCCCCGGGACTTGTGTGGCTGTCAACAGACATTCCCTCAACCCCTGAACGCATAATGGTTGAGCTTAAACCTATTTTCAGGAAGGCCTACTGGTCTCTTGCCTTTGGGGGACTAATCTATGTGCTGTGTCTTCTCTCCTTAACCTTCCCAGAGGTCCAACGCTTGTATGTATCTAGTTCACAGGTCTGAGGCCGAGAATGAGCTAACATAGATAACACAGTGTTCTTTATGCCAACAAGATCAACCCCAGCTTGTGGCAGGATGTCAATCAAGTTGAGCAATTTGGATTTTTGAGTACGGTCCCTCTGTCCAGGTGAACGCCCGGAAGTATGTTTGCTAATCTATCCCCAAAGGAACCCAAGTCCAACCGTTTCATTTGGTGACGCCTGACAATGAAACCATTTACGGCTGGCACTTGATGCCCTTGCATCTTTGCCTAGAAAGTGAAAGGGAATTAATGGAGAATCCCTCTACGGGCCCAGCTGAGGATTACACGAAGACAGTTGCCCACAAGCTTCTCGCCAATGACCCCAATGCACGAGTCGTTGTAAGCTGTAAGTGATATACAACCAAATCCTCGCTGTAACAAGCTAACATTTGAGGAATGAAGTTCACGGAAATGCGGCGCACTTGGGTTCTGCTCAACGCCCTGCCACTTACAACACGATGTTGAGCCTGTCTACCCCGTCAAACCCAATCCACGTCTTTGCAATTGACTATCGCGGCTTTGGTGTTAGCACTGGATCTCCCACAGAGGAAGGTCTTATCACGGATGGCGTGTCCCTCATTAACTTCCTTACTGCAGGGCCATTAAAAGTACCCACTTCTCGCATCGCCATCGTGGGCCAGAGTCTGGGAACCGCAGTCACAGCCGCAGTGGCAGAGCGTTTTGCATTCGGATCACCTGATCCGGCAGCTATTCAACCAGCTATCAAGAACGCCGAGCCATTCGCCGGCGTAGTTCTACTGGCGTCCTTCAGCAGCCTAAGAAACCTCCTTGAATCCTACAGCTTCAAAGGCATCACACCACCTATCATGTCCCCCATCATGGGATATCCTCGGGCTCAGAGGTGGTTGTTGAGCCACATTGTGGACCACTGGGACACTGCTGCTAGACTGGCGCGTCTTACCGGCGTCAATACTACTTCGTTGAACGGTGGAAACCCGGAATACACCGATAAAAGCCTTGATCTGACTATCGTTCACGCTTTCGACGATGCTGAAATCCCCTGGTATGAAGGACGCCGCGTTTGGGTGGCTGCCACTGGCGGACACATCAAGGGTGCTCCTGGCGCTATGACATATCACAAAGCCGAGGACGGCAACCCCAGCGAGGTGAAGATTTGGAAGAATCAGATCAGCGATCAAGATGGCACTGAGATTGTGAAGACAGTCAGGTGGGAACGGATTCGATATGGTGGTATGTTGAAGCAACTTTCTTACAAATTCCACAGACTAACTAGTAATTCTTTAGGTCATAATCGTGTTGCATCGGGCTCGGTGGCTGGTATCGCTGTTATGAGATCTTTTGAGCAGTAATTTGGCCGATACATTGATTATATATACACAGAGGAAACCCAGAAAAGACGGTTACTTTTTTGCCATAGTTGGCAGATACCCTATAAACTAGATGAAGAAATTATATCTTTGTACCAGGACCTATCATTTGTGAGTTCTGATTTCTTTCAACTTGCAATATAGATAGTTTGTTAATCTCCTGGATATTGTGTATACATGTAGCTATTAACGACCAGCCTGCTGCCTACTTACCTGGCTTTTTTTACAGAAACGACCTGATTAATGATATGAAATATATTTTACTTCTAGATTTTCAATATATCACCATAGAGTGTCTATTTCTTGTGACTCTAGCCATTCCGTTTCCTCCTTCACTCTTAATGCCTGTGCCTGTAACAGACGTTCGCTCAATCTCCTCGTTACACTTCAATCTTCCCACTTTACTTTTTCTTCACTTCGCATTTCATTTCCATTGTCTTTTTCTTTAATTGAAAATCTCAAATCCCTCAAGCTGTCGGTAGATCGGTATCTCGCACCATGCCTTACATGGGTAACCCGCCTCGGCAAGCAGCCCTCAATGTCATCTCGGTATCAAGCAACATGCCAGTATATACGTGGCCGTGTGGCAGGAAAATTGGTGAAGACCAGGTCAGACTGCAAGAAAACTCTTCTCATCTTCCTTTCACTTATCTACTTCTACACAAATTAGGATATATCCTTGCGCTAGAAATAGCACGCGAGGCTTGAAAATTATGCCTTGCGTTGGCAATCTTCACCTTCCTTTTGTGCAATGGAGTATAATCACGAAACGTTGAGCCATCCCGCCAACTGGTGGGTGTGTGGAAAGGCTCGCATTCACCAACTGCGGTAAGATTGTCAAGTTTCAGTGTTGAAACTACTTACTATTTGGATAAGCTCAAACGTTATATTTCTTCTTTTCCCTCACTCCACAACAACAACTACATTATCACCACGCCCTGGGCATCGTCCCGACTACGTGCGAGATGGACTATGAGGGAGGTATATGGCTTCGTCGGGGATACTAAACTGCCAGCTGCACAAGGCTGACAACGGACATGCCGCTGGATGTCCAACGTGGAAATAAGTAGCGAGTCTCGCCGAGCTAGCAACTGAAAGAATTTCGTCGAATACATCACCCACAGGCAGCCGTCCCACGTTAGTCGAGAGAACATGAACTACAGTAACGGATCACAAGGATCAATTTAAACCAATGTTGTTTCAAATATAAAGTACACGATGATAAATTTCAATTCCAATAGAGCACATACAGCTTCCAAGGTTCACACCTTTATTTCGTAGATGGATTGGGCATTCCCGCGGTGTCTGGCCACTTACGGAACAGGTCTGCGAGATGATCGATCGGCGCCGTTAAAAGCCCGACAGCTGTCTCGTACGGTGGCTTGTCAGGTGCACTAGGATGGGAACGCGAAGGAACGAACATCTTCGTTCGGCTAAAGGTCTTAGCACAGCTCTCACTATCCTCTTGAGACAAGGCCTGCTCCAGCTTAGGCAAATCATTCAACTCCTCCTCTTTGATATGCTTGGAAAGGTTATCCATCAGCTCTCGGATAGCAGGAATAAACTGCGTGTCTGATGGTGTCATGTTTTGGAATTCCTTCAGTTGCTTTTTGACCTATACTCATCCTGTTAGCACTGTAATGGGTGACGGATGTAGCTCAACTCACTTTCAAATGCTCATTGCGGTCATTGTTGGCCATTTGCACACCATCGGAGAGCATCTTCTCAAACAGAGGATACACTACAAGCTCTTCTCCAATGGAGTGTCGAGCTAGTTCCCAGGTGAACAGATTCTGGAAGCGTGTCTGCTCATCCTGGTCCGTGGAGCTAATTATCGTGCCATAGTATGATTCAATGTCCCGGTGATCCTTTCTAATTGTGTCGATGATGCGAGGTATCATGGTAACAGGTGAAGTTGCAAATCCACGTCTCTGAATAACTCGTGACAAGAGTTGGCTGAATGAAGCTATTCTTGGTGAACGAAGAGCGAAGGTCATTCTAGCCTTGGGAGAGGAGATTCACGACAGGGACTTCAGTAGGTCTAAATGTGGTCTCCATATACTAGACGTAATTATAGCAGGTAAATGTTGTCCCTCGCCCTCATCGGTCCTTCTAGATGCCAAATCATACTGACATAAGATAAATGCATGTATTATAGTAATGCAAGAGATGGTGGCCACTACATGCAAGCCTAGAAAGATCTTCTAGGTGCTTTTACTGAAATGGACGCTCCAATTAGAAGGCATTTAATGTTAAGCATCATAATGACGGATCTGAGCCTTCGGTGTCGTTCCATCCGCATTTTCGGATACAACAGGCCCGGTGTATGACGAGAGATCCGGATTCAAGCTAACTGAAAGTCGGTTTGATCTTCCATTATCCCATCGCGCGTGAGCTCACAGTCAGATAATCATCTACCTGTGTCAAGTAAACCATCCGAAGCTTCGGGTGAACAATCATCCCCTAGGCCCCAAGATGAGCCATTTATTAGTATGTATCTGAGGTGTCAAGGCAAACTTCAATCGCAAGCCATCCGCCATATTCAACTCAGCTCTTCAATGCTGGGGCACCGTCAACTATCACAGTGTCCGTTTCCTCGTCACTACTTTCCTGAGATGACACCAAGGCTTCCTTCCTTTGCTCCCTATGGTGATATGTCAGTTGAATGTCCACCAGTATTTAACGACGGGCGTTTACCTTCGCCATAAGTAAATAGAGCCGACGAAGCCAGCCCATAGAAGGAAGAAAAATACGAATGATATTGGCCATCCCTTTCGCCACCTCGGCGCACCGTCGGGGCCGGCGGTTGGGTATGCCAGCAACGGAACCCAAATATTGAACGAATAGCCAAATGTCATCATGGATCCCTGTAGTGCAAGTCATATGGCGATCAGTATAATTTCGTTTATTAGTTGGATGAAAGAAATAGGCGTACCATGATGAGAGCGCGTTCCTCGGCATCGTCCCTCACTATTAAATTGATAGTGGAGTATAGAATTGGACTCAAGCATCCAGACACTCCAAAAGTATACCAAGCAACGAATCTTTGAAGGGACTTGTTAGTGACATGGACTAAAATATAAAACTGAGTAAGAATGTATCTTACTTCAGCGCCGTAGGAATTTCCCAAACGATCAAGCATAATGTCGAGAATAGACAGGATGCCGATGCAATGGTAAAGATTATCCATTCCGGATAGATTGCAGCTAATGTTGTGCCTAGCCAGGACCCCACAATATAAATTCCATAAGTGACAGTTGGTAACTGGTTGATTTGAGTCACGGAGTATCCCTCTGCTTTGAGCCACAGGCTCATATAGCTGACTGGATAGCTGCAGATGATCATACAACTAGGTAAAAACTGACGTTAGTATATCGACGACAAAGAGTCAACGCCTTCAAAACTTACGCGTAACAAGTGATAAACACCCAGATGTGCCATCTCTTAAAAGTCCTCTTGAAGACATCGAGACTCATCTTCCCAGGTTGACGAATTTTGGCTCTCTCGGTTCTCTCTTTGACCAATACAATATCACGGTCTGTTAAATAGAATGGTCTGGGTGACCCCGGAATACCGGGAAAGATAATGAATCCAATCAAAGCCACGGGGATGGTAAATATGCCGTCAATTATGAACAGCCATCTCCACCCTGGCATACCTCCAACACCAGAAAGGTTGGTATAAGCCGCTGCCTGTAGATATCCACTCACCATTGTACCGAGCGGATTACAGATAAACCATGTTCCAGCTCGTTTGAATAGTTCGGGGCCCGTGTACCATGAACCTTTATAATGGTTAATATATTTCCAGACCATATATATCGCTGAACTTACCAAGAACAAAATGAGTTCCAGCAAAAACGGGTGCTTCTAGCATTCCAACCAAGAAGCGAAGGGCATATATCTGGTGTACATTTGTGACACGACTTTGAGCAAATGTGCAAATACCCCAGAGTACTTCCAGAGTAGGCAGCAACCAGCGAGCCCTATGGAATTAGTTAGTAGTTTGCTATTAGTGGGCGAACGTTTCAATTGCTGGGACTCACAACTTTGGGCGTGACATAAGCAGCAGTCCAGGAATTTGGAATACCACGTAGGATGTATAGTAGCAGACATTGAAGTAGTTGAGCTCATTTCCATACAGGCTGAAGTCCTCTTTCAGACCACTAACGTACGCATTGCTGATATTTGTCTGGTCTGCAATATATTGGTATCGAGTTGAGGGGCTATGGATGGGGACATCAGTTTACCTAGATATTTGACAAAGACTAAGTTTGTTAGTTGCTTTTTCACAGAGTATCATTTGGACTGGTGCACACTTACAACAGAGACACGCGAATATCAGAATTGACAAGTCCAACTTGAACAGTAATCTAGAAACGTCAGCACAGATGAGCTGGGATGTTCTTGAACATCGATCTGCTTACTTTCTCTCCTCAGAAGGATAAGAGGATGGGTACCAATTGAACACCTCTTTCAAAAGTCCCAAAGGGGACAATCTCCCGGCCTTGTGCTTCGGATCAGACATAAGTAAAGCTTGTCGGATGTCCGATGCTATTCCCAAAGGTACAGAAAGACAAAGCAAATCGGAGTATCTACCATTACAATTACTTCTTATAGGATCGTCTCCCGCTATAGAATGCCGGGATATAAGAGGAGAAGATAAGCTGCGAGATGTGTGAACCAATTCCCCCACCCGCTGTCACCATCGCTCCTTCAGTAATTCTAAATGGCCAAAACCAGCCGTCAGCGAGGCAAAGGAACGTCTGAATACGAAGCTAGCACATTACTAGTCCTTTGATGCGCCAGCGGAGGCGACATGTTTATGCATGATGGCGTGCGCGCAGCCCAGTCTACCACACGAAATCCGGAAATTAACCGTTATCTCAGGCCTCATCGGACGGGTTTATTGCGTGCTCTTGCTTATTTCCTACGTTTATCTGACGCGGGGTATGTGATCGGGATAAAGTGCCGGTGGACTTATATACGGCGTGTCCTTCCTTAGGTGTTGTGAGAAAGAGCAACCGAAGTTGCTAGAGATATTCAGTCATCACTTCAATAACACATTGACTTTTCAATATGCCGGGCAAATATATTGAGAAATATGACCAGGTCCCTGTCACCAAGGAAGATCGTGGGTGATTCTTGCTCTCTCGATCCTTTCCTCTTGCTGACAGTCCGGTTAGTTGACTGGGCCGAACTTATCACACTGGACCTAAGCCAGTACGAACAGCCAGGAGGAAAGGAAGATCTTGTCAAGCAGCTCGATCATGCTGTTCGAAATGTTGGTCCGTCGATGCCCTACGTTTCATACCCGGGCCGGGGATCTATCCTAGATCACCCCTCCCCCCCATAGCCCAGATCCCCAAGTCGCACTTTAATTGGACTTCATCTTTATGTCCAATGCTAATCAGAGTCGGTAAACAGGATTTTTCTATGTGAAGAACTTTAACATTAGTCAAGAAGAGATCGACAACCAGTTTGCTCTAGGGCGGGAGTTCTATGCCCTGCCACTTGAAGAGAAACTCAAGTTCCACAGTGCCAGTGACCTTGAGAGAGGTGAATACAACTCTTACCGCCCTGCTGGGCAGCGGATGTAAGAAACATGTTGTTTGCATAAATTTGTCTAACACTAACACATCTTACTCAGCCTAGGAAATGGCATCAAGGATAATGTCCAAGTTTACAATCTCCCAAAGTTCGATGGTCACCACGAGCGACCCCAGCCTTCTATCCTTACCGAGCATATCAAGGAGATTGAAACCTTTAGTCGGGTACTTTCCCTTTAATCGTCGTCATCTGATGCTCTTAACTCACAACAACTATAGAAATGCCACACCGAAGTCGTTGAGAAGCTTCTCCGCCTCTTCGCAATTTTGCTTGAGTTGCCGGATGAAAATCAACTGGTCCGCGACCATCAATACGATGTCAAGGGCGAGGATCATCTACGCTATATGCATTATGCTGCCCGAAGTGCTGAGGATAACAAGAAGGTTGGTGAACTTTACACCCCCGGCCACACTGACTTGGGAACCGTTACTCTCCTGTTCCGGCAACCCGTAGCCGCACTTCAAATCCTCAATTCAGAGGGTAACTGGAAGTGGGTGCGGCCCCAGGATGGGACTATTACAATCAACACCTGCGATGCCTTGACGGCGCTCACTGGTGGTTTGATCAAGTCCAGTATTCATCGGGTGCATGCACCCCCTGCCGACCAGGCTCACATTGACCGGTTGGGTGTGTTGTACTTTGCTCGGTATGTTGGTTTGAATATTCCGCATCCGGAGTCTTCGGAGTCTAATGAATGCAGCCCCAACAACCACATTGTCCTTGACCCGATTCAGAACAGTCCCCTCCTCCAGAGGCTTGGCTTGACCACCAACGTGTTCACTGAACTCGGGCAGCACCTCACGACCGAGGAGTGGGTTAAAGTTCGACAAACACAACAGCAACGAAGAAACCAGGAGGTCAAAATCTCCCTTGAGGGGAAGTACATCTATAAGCCGAAGGATCTCGAGATCATTCCTGGCCTTCAGGCTGCGGTCTACAACTAGTCAGGTCTTGACTATGGTTTCATTCGTACAACATACATAGTCCGGGATCAACAAATTGAACTAACCGGTTTCAATACATCATTAAAGTGATCAAGGAAGATGCCCGTCCTGATCAAATATAGAGCCTGGGCCAATCAAGTTAGCCCTCTTAGCAAACCTAGCAAGTTACTCCCATAAAAGCCACTTCATCTTAAGCTCTAATTAAAATACCAATAGAACACGCCACTGAATTAGGAAATAAAAACAGCATTCCCCAAATATGCTTGGCGTCGATGAACGCAGTCCAAAGTGGGACCCAATGACATCATCGCTAGGAACGATCCCCATGTTTCTTGGACGTGGACCAGTCCAGTCAAACAGAGCCAATTACTCAAGAAATCCCTGCTGCCTACTCATATTCCTCGATATTCCTACTCTTTAGTGCTATCACCCTCCACCCAATACGCTATCCGATCACCATCAGCCCTACGTCAGCCTCAGCCCTACGCCTTACTATCATTACTACTTAGAATCCTGTCACTCTCCACCATGTCGTTACCGGAACTCGAAAAGTTCTCCCAAGCGAAGCAACCGAGGAAGTTCACCATGATCCCAGACCCCTCCACTGACTCTTTGTACTTGGATTCCAATGTTGCGCTCGAACAACGGAGGCAGGCCAAGGAGGAGATGGGGATGAAGTTGCCAGGATCCGAAGATTTCGCTCAATCCAAGCAAGCACAATTCACCATGATCCCAGACCCCTCCACCGACTCTTTGTACTTGGATTCCAATGTTGCGCTCGAACAACGGAGGCAGGCCAAGGAGGAGATGGGGATGAAGTTGCCAGGATCCGAAGATTTCGCTCAATCTAAGCAAGCACAATTCACCATGATTCCAAATACCTCTAGCGACTCATTATACTTGGATTGCAATGTTGCGCGCGGACAACGGAGACAGTCCGAAGCCGAGATGAAGGCGAATGACGCTGCTTTCCAGCAAGCCGAAGGGCAGGAACGGGAAGGTATACTCGCGGGCATGAGACACCAATTGGACACCATGGTTCCAGGCGGCTCGATCTCGGAGTTTGGGAGTTCCATTGGCTCCGCCGCCCAAGAGAGGATCGCGGCCGCGAAGGAAACTATAATGGAGAGTGCATTACCTGCTGCGCAGGGAGCGTTACGTACCATTCGGGGTCACATTCGATCCATTTCAGGTGGATCCAACGAAGTTGAGGAGACGGTACCTGACGGTATGTTCATGTTTACATGAGTTTTGCAGTACATATGACATGGTTGTTGACGGTGTTAATGTTTAGAACTCTCCCAGGAGGAGCGCGAATGCATTGATAATTTGAGCAACGAACAAATTTGCGACTTCCTACGAGAGAGGCATATGAGCAATAAGCACCCACTTCCAGCAAAGTAAACAATTAGCAGCATATTCTTGGCATTTTGAGGTCTAGTCTCCATTGATTGGAGATCTAGAATCATTTATGCTTTTTGCGGCTAGTTGGACATTCCGGGTGTCGCTGATCGCATCTTTTCTCCAGGGGGACAGGATCCTCGTTCATTACTTAACATGTATAATTAGCTGTCGGAGTAATTGAATCTATTTGAGTGGCACATTTTACAAACTTTAGTTTACAATGCACGAGACTCGATCCAATTTGATACTGCTAGATCCTAGAGAGCCGCCCTGAACCCTCTGTCAAGGCCGCGATCCAAACTCAGGAAGTCAGCCACTTGACCCAAGTGATCAACACCAAAGAAGCCCTCGGTCTCGCCCTTGGAATTTGTGCACTCGAACCACGGCAGCCCGAAAGCTCCCGAATTAAAAGACTGATCGGTATTCGCAGTCAAAAGGGCCTTGATTTCCGGATTGTTCATCTACGGGTCAAGTTAGCGTCCTTGCAGTCACATTTTAACAGGACTAGTTAGGATATTGGGGGGGAATTGTAATGGACTTACATCTGCCAGAATATCTAGCGTCTCTTGCTTCCCAAGTATGCTCTCGAGCACGGGAGCAAAGCCATCGGGTTCACCGATGGCTGTGTTGCCTTCAACCCAGACTGCGTGGAATAACGCCTCGATTACCGTAACGAGCTTTCCTGGGGTTTTCTGGGAGATTGCGCACAGCGCACGTTGCACGGGTAATGTGCGGAAGGGGAAGCCTTTGGGGAATCCGTCTACGATCGGGACTGAGAAATATTTTGCCCATCGCACTCGCTGCTGGCCCAAGTAGGCTTTCTTATCTGAATGGCGGATACCCTTGTGAGCTTTCATTGCAATGATTCTCAGGACATGCACTCACTCTTGACGTTGATTGGAGGACTGTTGCCAGCTGCATTCATCAAACCTCCGAGTAGGATCGGAACGTATGTGACTTCACATTTTGCAAAGGCGGGTGAGTTCTAGAATTTTGTCAGATACAAAACTTCAATATTCCCACTCTCCATACCTGCAGCACGTGAAAAGCAATATATGCGAAGGGGCTGACGATATCGACGTAAAGGGTAATCTTGGAACCCGACATAGTGGAACCTTTGTAGTAGAATTTTAAGGTATGCAGCTAACCCAATAGGACTATAGGGAGATGGTGTGATTAAAGAACAGAAATATAATTCAGATCTTCAGGTCTGGAATGTCTTCCCCGCAGTGGAATTCATTTCTATGCCGAGGTCCAGAACGTTTATCCCTTTTTGTCCAAGATTTACATATTATCATCTGACCGACGATAATTTAATGGCTCATAAATGTAAGTATTATTAGTCATCTTTATCGACCAAGCCATTTTTTTGGCGTTGGTTCCTGGTCTATATCTTGGTAGAAACAGATGCCAAACCGGTTGGCATTCAACAACCTGCCAACTAAGCCAAATCAATAAAAGAAGTTCTCGAGTTGCCCCTTTGTATATTGCATCAAAATGTGTTCACAATGAAGTAAATACCAATGTTGGAAGTGTGCCACCGCCGCCACTCTGTATAAGCCACTCTGTATAAGAGAGGACCAGTACTTCTATTTCACCCATTATCAACTCAACGTTACAATAATTAATCTGAACCTTATTTTCTTAATTCCATACAAAATGAGCGCCCGGTCTCGAAGTATGAGTCGTTCCAGCGGTGACGGATCCGATCGAGAACACAATGAGTCCATCAACTACACAGACCACTCGGCAGTGACCAACCGCGGTGCACCAGCCCGTCACTCTCGCCGCCAGCGGTCCGAGTATCGATCATGGAATAGGGCGAGCGACAGACCGACCAAGGGAACAACGGGGTCAAAGTATCGGTCTACCTCGAAACATTGATTCTATGCGATATCTGATTTATAAGGTTGGATTTTGGGTAGCTGCTATTTTATGGGAGATTCTATGCATAGGATGATTACATCAAGGCCATCCAGATCTGACTCATGTAAAGCCTGTCCAGCCTGCATACTTCACGATGTATATAAAACATACCTAGCCTCCACAGTTTCTCTGGCAACTACTCAGTCTCGGTTCAAGCATTCGTTATCCGTCTTGAAAAAGGATCAGATATAGATATTGCGACATTGCCATGTTACCACTAGGCCATCTGCTATTGAATGCTGATATTAGGTTATACTTCCTTTTCTCCCGCACTTTATACAAAGGGGCATCACGAGCCCCAATGTTGAAATATAGCCGAATATAGGAGTTGTATGAGACAATTGCATGAATTCTACACATATAGTTCTTTTGAGAGGTTTGTAGCTCTGATACCTGCGCTTCTCGTATGTACCGTATGTGCTTGCCATTTCTGTCTACTAGTAATTTCCGGTATAACTAAATCCGAGATGCAGAGAATGAGTAACACCACCTTTCTTTTGAATAAAGTTCCTGTTGAAGTTTTAAGTCGAAACTTGATATATACAAACCCAAAGGGGTAATTAGGGCTCCTAATATAGGGCTAGCCCCTCCATCGGCGATTGATCAGCGATAGCCCTCCCGCCGTCAACATCAGAAAGCAACAACCTCAGACCAAGATAGTCCCCAAGCACCGCAGAAATGGCGCCAATCCCCATAACGATCGTGACGGGCTTCCTCGGCTCAGGCAAAACAACCCTCCTCCTCAACCTAATCCCCCAACTTCCAAAGACCTACAAGCTCGCCCTCCTCAAAAACGAATTCGGCGACGTAGCCGTGGACTCTCAACTAGCCTCAACACAATCCATCAGCGGCGTGCGCGAACTCCTCAACGGCTGTATCTGCTGCAACCTCGTCGGCCAACTCAGCGATGCACTGGATCAACTGCGCACCGAAGTGCAACCCGACCGCATCGTGATTGAAACCAGCGGCAGCGCGTTCCCCGCAACGCTCGCGATGGAGGTGAACCGGCTTGCGCGTGAGCAGGGCGGACACTACGTTCTCGATGGTGTCATTAGCGTCATCGATGTCGAGAACTGGGAGGGGTACGAGGATACTTCGTACACGGCCAAGATCCAGGCGAGGTATACCGATTTGATTGTTTTTAATAAGTGGGAGGATTCGCCTGCGCGGTTCGATATTTGTCTGGATCGGGTGGGCGATTTGGAGGTCGAGACGCCTTGGGTCAAGTCGAATAAGGGGAGTGTCGATATGGATGTGTTGCTGGGTATTGATGGGGCTTTGTTCAAGGAGTCTGAGGACGGGGCTACGGCTGGTCATGGACATGATCATCAGCATCAGCATGATCATCAGTCTGAGGTGGAGGTTCTTTCTGTTGTTTTGAAGTCTGACGTTGAGGGGAAGACGGTTGATGTTGCTGCTCTCGAGCGGTTCCTCTCTTTGGCGCCTCGTGAGGAGGTGTATCGCATCAAGGGAATTGTTCGCTGCTCGAACCAGGATCTTCCGGTGGAGTCATCGGATAATTCGACTGCGAGACAGACGCTCGAGACGTCGGGGATGCAGCATTATATTCTCAACTGGGCATTTGGACGCTGGACTTGCACTCCTTCCACTGTGGTCGCAGAATCTGCAGACCCGGCTGTCATTGCACGTATTACATTGATTTTGGCTCGATACGAGTCGGCCAAGTGGAAGAAGAAGCTCGAAGCTGGTGGGCTGGTCCAGGCGGGTGAGGGAGAGGGTGTGGAGTTGAGTGTGGAGCGCTTGGTCTAGATTTTGATGGGGCTCCCGTTTATAGATGCCGTGATGTGGTTAATTTCTCATGATACCTTGTAAATGTGATGATAGAGCATGATACACCAGTAATCAAACATCAAGACTTTTCATATTTTATGCTCGAAAGCATTAACAACCATAAAGCCACACGTCAACCACAAGAGACAACAAAAGATCCCTAGTCAAGGGACATTGATACAGACAAGACGACCTCTATTCTAATTTAGGATCTAGTGGGTGGAAAACACGATCGCATATGCAGCGAGAACGCACAATAGATACTATATTTAGATGGCCCCCTAAGGGTAGAGGCTACCAAACAAAAAGTGAATCCAAACACAAAAAGACAGGATTGCAAAGGATTGCGAAAAACAAATTTCAAACTAGTAGTTGAGCAGAGCGGAGGCACCAGGTTCGCTAGAAATATAGATCACCTCGTGGTTGTCCGAGAAGCCGTTGAAACGGGTAGCACTGCACTTGGTGTAGGCCCCCATCTCCTCAAAGTAGAGCCAGTCACCGGTGTTCAAAAGGGCAGGCAAGCTAATACGCTGGGTGATCACATCGATGCCATCGCAGGTAGGTCCCCAGATAGAGTAAGTGATGTCCTCCGAAGTCGCAGAGTTCGGAGAAGCAGGCTGGGAGCCGTCCGAGGCGCAGGTGAGAACCTGAGCGACGGGATGCTGGTGATCGAAGATGATGTTCGAAAAGTTGCCATAGACGCCATCGTTCAGGTACAACATGAAAGCATCACGAGAAGGATCTTCGGGATCCGGAATGTCACGCCGCGCAATGACGTTGGCGGCCAGAGTGTAGGCAGTGGCTACATAGTAGCGACCGGGCTCAGCGATCACACGAATGTTGGGCGGGAAATAAGTGTCCACGGCCTCGCCTAGAATGCCCGCGAACTTCTCAAATGTCTCCTGGCAGAATCCGCCACCAACATCCAGAGTGTGGAGTTCGTGGCCGATCTCGCCCGCCTGATCGAAGACCATGCGCGCATCCTGCACGGCCTTGAGGAACGCCCGGGGATCCTCGGCGCCAGATCCGACGTGGAAGCTGACACCGACGACCTTGAGGTCCAATTTATAAGCCAGCTCAAGCAACGGACGAGCCTGGTCCATAGACGCACCGAACTTCATGCTCAACCGGCACAGGCTGGTCGAGTCATCGGTCAAGATGCGAAGGTAGAGTTCCGCCTCAGGGAAGGTGGACTTGATCTTGTACAGCTCATCGGCATTGTCGAAGGTCATCTGCTTGACACCGACCTCGGCTGCGTAGCGCAAGTAAGACTTGGTCTTGCAAGGCTGCGCATAGATAATGCGGCTAGGATCAATGCCCGTCTGAAGGGCCAGGTCGATCTCAGACTTGGAGGCACAGTCGAAACCGTTTCCAAGCTGGGCCATGAGCCGGAGTACTTCCGGGTCCGGGTTACACTTGACAGCTGTTTTTTCGTTAGCCGGGCTCTAGAATGGGCGAGATCCAGTGACAGGGAGAGACCCACCGTAAAAGGGCTTCACACGGCCCAAGTTCATCTTCCAGCGCATATGCTGGCGGTAGACTTCCCCCATATCCGCCACATAGAAAGCATCCTCATCACCAGGACCACAGTGGTCCACATCCACTTCCGCCGCACGCTTCTTCAACACCTCCAAGACAAGTTCCTTGGCAGTCAACGATGATTGCAACAAATTGTTGTCCCCATGACTGCTGACGAGACCAAGATGGTCCAGACTATTGGTGTAGTCTTTTCTGAAGGTGCATACTTCAGCAGTCGATACACACGCAGTCGGTGCCATAACCATGCTGCTGCGACTCAGCACAATAGTAGAAGAAAGAGAGATAATAAAAAGTTTTTAAACTGGCAGGCGACTGCGCGTTAGGGAGGACGAAAAGTGTCACAACCGTAGTTGACTGGACCAAGCCTCCTAGACCCTTCCCCCTGAAGAGGAAGAACCTTGAAAGAAGTCCTATGCGGCAGCTCAGAGAACGAGGGAATAATCTCCGGGGACGTCAACGGGACGAAAAAAGGCGCACCGGACGAGAATTCAGAGAATACCAGGAGGTGGAATGTTGTTAAGAGTGTCGCGGAGACGTCGAGTGGAGACAATTTGGCTAAGAACCAGAAGGGAGGCTACTGGAGCCGTGGTGACCGAATCGCCTTTGGGGATTCCAAAGGCAGGGTCGAATAAGTGGGCCTAAAATGACCGAAGAGATCTAAGAGTAGAGTGGTTAGCAAGCCTGGTATAATGTCCAGGTGCTATGATAGCTATGAGGGAGAAAAAAAAAGGACGGAGAGGGAAGGGGACGAGAGTTTGAGAAATTTTTCTTTTGGGGGGGCAGTGAGCGAGCTTAGGGCACACGACTATTGGGGGAAATAAAACGCCGCACGGGGTCACACACACACACCA